AGTCGTAAAATTCAAAATCTACGGTCCACGTATAGGATTAAGATTACGAGAGGCATTTATGAATTGCACCGTTGGATGTTTAGTTCATAAATTTAGAATTATAGTTCAGAATTATTTTTAATTTATGTATATTTTTTTATGAGAAGAAATATTGTAGTAAATCACGAACCATAATTCAAATTATAATACAAATCTACCAATAAAACGCATAATAACTTTATAAGCGCGGTTTGATTATAATCATAAAATTAAGATTAATGGTACCTATGATAAGAGCACCGTCACTGTAAAATATCCTACTTTTTAAATACCATATTGTATCTGGAAACAAAATGAACTAAAAATATATATATAAAAAATTGGCGACTAATGAACATTCAATATATAACTTCAAAAAAAAAAAAAAAACATTCAATATATGTCTTCCAGTATCATAGATAGCAAATAGATCAAAGCTTCATTTATTTCACCGATTGAAATTTAAAAATTCACATAAGTCACATCTCAATTTAAATTATAAACTTGAATCGGGTGAATTAAACATGTCTCAAATTTTGAGGTTTTAAGTTGAAGTATTTTGTACCTGACTTTGAGTGGTTGGCTGAAATATTGGATTGTATATGTGAACAGGTCTAGTAAGTTGTTGGAATGAAGCATTAGTATGGTAAACACTGGGAATTCTATTGCCGTTTGGCTGGACAGTTGGACTAGGAAATCCACAGTAATAATAAGGCTGCATTTGTGTCTGGCCAAAATCCAAGTGAGGTCTCAATAAGGGGAAAAAAAAAAAAAGAAAAAAAAAAAGAGAAAAAGAGAGATATAATTATAAATTAAAATAATAAGAAAGAACTTTAAAAGAGTCACATGATCAAAACCTGAGACTTGGGCTTTGGTTTTGCTTTAGGCAAAGATGACTTCTTTGGCCGGTGAACCAAATGAACAGTAATATTATTAGCCATAGCCACATTGGTAGATTTGTCATTAAAGGGTGAAATATGAGAGTCCTTTTGAGGGCTAATATTTGAAGAAATGATTTCATGGAAAACATCAGAGGGTATCCAAAGCTCTCCATCCTCTGGGTTTGGAGGAGAATCTGTCATGAGTAATTTCACAAACAGAGAAGTATGAAAACCAAGATAGACCAAGAAGAAAGAAGAACAAGAAAAGGCTTAGGATTGTCACTTTGGAGCCACTATATATAAGAGTGCAGATTTGTAACCGCCAAGGCTTTTGTTAATGAGTGGATGGAGAGAGAGAGAGAGAGAGAGAGAGAGAGAGAGAGAGAGAGAGAGAGAGAGAGAGAGAGAGAGAGAGAGAGTGTGAGT